CCCTACACGTGGGGTAGGCAGCCTGGGCAAGGGCTGGACCTGGACCAGGGCAAGGGCTGGACCTGGGCAAGAGCTGGACCTGGGCTGGGCAAGGGCTGGACAGCTGCACACACAAATACCTAGATTTTACCTTCTAATCTGGTTGTTGGAGCAAATCACTGAACTCTCTTCACACTGTGATGATTTTTTCAGAGACCTAGCAACCTGACCCTCAGAAGGGTGTCCAGCCTAGCGCCTCTGAATTTTAGCTGGCTGCTCCAGGAGATCCTCTTTCAGAAGGACCTTCTCTGAGAAGGAGGCAATCACACTAGTCTTGGCCTGCTCTTGGCCCCTTCCAAAACAGGCAGGAAGGGCCGTCTATTTTGCATGTGTACAAGTGATCTTTACAATCAGTTCTTTAATTCAGTTTTACAACTAAAACTTGCTGTGAGATTTCCAAAAACAAAAGGAAAGAAAGAGCATAGAGTGATGCAGGAAGCTAAACTGAACTGCCCGTTACTACAATGTACAACTGCTGCTATGAGCTCTTCCTTGTTTTTAAGCACCCTAGAACAATTTCTATTGTTCCTGAGAAGAAATTACCAACATCTAAATATTTACAATAGACCTAAGAACTTGTCATGCTAACTGCTTGACACACAAAATTGTGAAGAGGCTTAAAACCGTGCAATAATTTCTTACCTAGTATACTTCTCTGGCTCTGCATGTTCCTGCAGAGCATCCTTTATACAACACACTTATGCCAGTGATTTATTTCATCTCTCTGTTACTTTGGCTTAACAGGCAACTCTGAGAAATGTAGGAACTTTAAACTTACAAATCTTTCCAAACCAAACAACTCCTTCCAAGTGCTTAGTTACCAGAACTATTTCAGCTATAAAACCTCTCTCATTTTTTAAGATCCAGGCCTCCAAAAACATCTAGGGGCTTTTACCCTTAGCAGGTAAGATCTTTTGTATGCTTGTATAAACATAGCAGGTTATCTTTCTAAATTATGCAACCTTTCTTTCTAAATAATTTATGTCTAAATTCCAACTATATATATACATTCTAATATACAGTTGATTGTTGAGAAAACTAATATAGTTACTATGAAGATTAAACTCAAACCTCTGTAGGTCCAGTTCCCCAGAACGAGCCAGGATTTCTAAGGATCCTATACGAAACCATGATTTGGCAAGATGTAGCACTATGGCACCTTAAATAAAGACACACGTGTTTAAATGTAAAGAGATGCTGGTTTTGTGAGCACGCTCAACAGAAAACAGACGAACATGTACAGTATTACTTTAGTACACATAGATTTTAATGATAAAGCCTAATTTGCTATAACAGCAAACACAGGCAAGATTCCAGTACTGCATTAATACTAGAACTACTCCAGAGATGCTACCAACAGAGAAAGAACTAACCTAAATAGGATTTTCCCCATACTGTGCCATTCTGCTCCTTCACCAGCGGGTGTAGATGGTGTAGCAACGGCACAGCCACAGTAGCATTCCCACCCTCCCAGTATTCCTATCGGAACGATGGAAAATTGTCCTAGGTTTTTTTGAAAACAAATCTGAAAACAATTTGAAAACAAAAATTATACCCCTGCAGCACCTGTGCCACGGTGACAGCAGACCTGTTCAAAGGGCTTTGGTTCTTTAACCAAGATATGTTTCAGACTGATTTTCTCAGCAGAGGTTTTATATTTTACTAAATGACTTGAAGCCTATTCAGTACTTTTTATTACACATATATGACCTATTAAAATTCATTTCTGCAATGGAAAATTAAGTTACAGTGTTGCACATATTATTTTGAAATGTGTTCATTACCTCTTTCCTTCTTAATATCTCCATTGTAAAACTGGTCTCTCCACACATCATCATCACTTACAACTAAGCTGTAACAAAGAAGAAATTAAAATTACAAAGCTATCTCAGTAAAGTAATTTACAATGAACATAAAGTCACATTTGACATAACTTTATTTCTTCCATAGAAAGAAAGATTTTGCTGACACAGCTTCGTATTTAAAAATGACACAGGCAAATAGTAAGCCAAGGATTACCAAGTCAGGGGGCTGGAGCACCTCTCCTGTAACGAAAGGCTGCGAGAGTTGGGCTTGTTCAGCCTGGAGAAGAGAAGGCTCCGGGGAGACCTTATTGCAGCCTTCCAGTACCTGAAGGGGCTACAAGGAAGCTGGGAGGGACTTTTTACAAGGGCCTGTAGGGACAGAACAAGGGGTAACAGGTTTAAATTGAAAGTGGGGATGTTTAGATTAGATATCAGGAAGCAGTTCTTCCTGGAGAAGGTGGTGAGGCACTGGAACACGTTGCCCAGAGAAGCTGTGGATGCCCCATACCTGGATGTCTTCAAGGCCAGGCCGGATGAGGCTTTGAGCAACCTGGTCTAGTGGAGGGTGTCCCTGCCCATGGCAGGGAGGTTGGGACTAGATAGTATTTAAGGTCCCTTCCAACCCAAACCATTCTATGATTCTATTTTTGAAGGTATCTAGTAGCTATCCAAACTGAATATTCTCTCTTAACTGCAAAGAACAAGCAGAAGGAGGGAAAACGCACCTAGAAATCAATCTGCCCCGGTTACTGGAGCTGTACTGAAACAAGCAATGCTAGGAAATTGTTGAAAAAGACTCTTTTGGGAACAATTACATATGAATGGTATGACTGTAGGAGTATGTACAAAAAGTTCTGACATAAATGAGATGGAAGAAGAAAAACTTTGTCCTTCAAGAAAAACAAAAATATCCAAACCAGGGAACGAACCCCAGGCACTAACAAAACGGTGTGTGCATAAGAGCCCGAGGATAGAGGAGTCAGAATAATAAAGCTGCTAAATCTTACTGGTTTGAACAGACCTCTGCCAGAAAGGCTGCTTCTTTTTGATTATGTAACTCTTAGCAGGTGCTCTGCAAAATTCCTGCAGGATACCAGCACTTCCCTCGTGAGACAAAAAACATCCATGGGGGCATCAGCATTTGGTTAGTTACTAATAGAGGTTAATGGACAAGCAGCACATGAGAGCCGGCCAGATTGCAGAGCAGCCACATGAAGACAACTACATCCCCACCACAGAAATGGTTTTCAGATGCTCCCTGTAGCTGCACCTGCTGTTCCTCGCGAGAAGGCAGCAGGAGGCCTGACATACACTCAAGCACAGGAAGTAGAGCACTGAAATTGCTCTAACACCAGAGAAGCTGGAACAGCACTCACAGAAGGATGGTTCATATCCCTCCCTACCCCTGGCTCTAGCTTAAGGTCTGGACTTTACACTCCCGAGTGCCCTGCTTGCTGTTTTGCAGGAACACCAAGCCCTGGGCAAGTAAGGGCCACTCTGAAAACGACGCACGTTGGCTCACTTTTTTCACCTAATGCGTAACGCTGCTAACTGGTAGTCACCGTGACTAAAACGGGACCCTATGAGGAAGTGTTCTTTATCTGGCTGTACAGCCATCAGCTGCAGCACCCCGTTGGGAACACAGTACTTAATAGAGCAAACCAACCCGCTGGGTGTTCCTGGATAAGCTGTAAGGCTTTTCCCCCTGCTTCTGCCACATGACCTCTCTAAGTGCATCCCACCAGCCTCAGCGCAACAGCTCCCCATTGGGAAGAATGTGGGTATCAGCTGGGGTTTTTCCAAATGCAGTCTTGCAAACAGTCTGCAGAGCCTGTACAGCAGTTAAGAGAGCCAGGCGTTTAACCAATCTGCCAGCAGAGAACTAAAGCACAGTGTGTCCTCAGTAGAATTTGGGCACAGCTAAGGAGTAATTTCCTACTGGTTTTGCACTGAACAGTTCGTTGAGATGACAGCAAGGAAAGGCTATAACCTTTCTGCTGATATTCAGATTTAAAGTTCTGCACTAACAGCCAACAGCAAAGGGTCTCAAGATGAAGTCAGTGAATAAACCACCAAAAATGTAATTTACAAACACTGCACTTCAACAGAGGACACGTGTTAGAATTAATGCCAGAGAGGTTCGCAGACACTTTGCAAATACAGACACCTAGGCATGTGGCAGCTGAGTACAGGCCTTTTCTGCAGAACATTTACTTCTTTAAAGCCTGAAGTGCCGCAGTACTGACACGAGGCCACTTGGAACACAAAATGAACTTGACATTTTAAACACGAACACCTGAAAAATTCAGTTTACTTAATTCTGAGAAAATCATCCATATGAGTGACTGTACTAGCTTGCTTTGGCTCAAACAGAACTAGTTTAAAATTATTTCTTACAAAATCTGCCTCTCTGCTCAAGGGGTGTTTGCACAAATGAGGAATTGAGAGCCTACCTACCTGCAGTACTAGCTCTAATGTTAATATCTAGCCATCTGACTGACAATTTTTCCTGCCAATCTTAAAAACTGCAGCTAGGTGACTATGACAACACAGAAATAGCCACTTTTAACATTTTCCTACTTAGCCTGATTCAAGAAAAAAATCATCCAAATGCTTAGATTTAGTGTAATAAAAGACTCATTTATTAACCATGTAAAATGTATTAATAGCCCCGTTGATCATGCACGTACACTAAAGGTATTATTAATATTTACAGGGCAGGAATCTAGTCCTGCTGGTTTTGCAAGTCTTTTGGGGAGCAACGAGGCAGAGAATTTTATTTCTTTTAAAGAGGAGAAACTCTTGATTGCAGTATCATAAAAGCTGGAGAGGGGTGTTAGTGTCAGCTATAATCACTCAATCTAACTTCCACTTTTTACTTTCTTTACAAAATGAACCAGATTTCAAGCTAAGGTAATTGAGTTAAGAGTCTTACAAGGGAACAGCAGCTGTTCACTGCAAGACACAGTACACAGTATCGTATTTAAACACAGTAGTACTTTAAAGCATACCAAAGACAAAAGTGAATGAATTAATTGCTGGAGGTCATTATTACTGGAAAGTTTTACCCAAAAACTTATGAAATTGGAGGGATATATTTTGATCTGATGGCATACATATGAAAAGAAAGATCTACCCTCGTGGAAGCTAGCCGTCCTGCTTTGCTGATGCTCACTGAACTCAAGTCACAAAATAACCTGTAAATTAGGATGCTGTGAAAAAGAAAAGAAAAATACCTAGCAGCTCTGGTTGTAGGAATTCCAAGATAGTGCATAGCCTCGCTACACAAAAATTCTCGCACCGAAGAGCGGAGCACAGCTCTTCCATCGCCATTCCTATGGAGAACAGAGAAACAAGGAACAGGTCATAAAGTAAATTTCAAAAAGAAAACATCCAGTTTCAGTGTACACAGATTAACTGCAATTTACCTGGAGTACGGGGTCTTTCCTGAGCCCTTCAGCTGTAGTTCCCACCTCTCGCCATGCCTGCAGAAATACCGTCAGCATTACTAACTGCACACCTGACACGATGCCTGAATGAGGCAAACAGGGTTGACCCAGTCACTTACAAAAGTGTCCCACCTGTTGGTATACACTCCGATCAAGTGGGCTCTCCCATCACCCAGCTGACCTGCCCAGCTACCAAACTGACAAAAGTGAAAATCAAGTTGTTTTCTTCTGTCACGTATAGCAGTTACATTTTAAACAGTACAAATTACACGTAGGCTGCCTGTGATCTACACAACATGATGACACATTCGCTCAGGCAGTCATTAAGATATTGATCCCTAAAGCTGTATTTCCATGTTCGCACCAATATGAATCAGGAAACCACAGAAAAAAAATTATGCCAGTAATACCCATTTTTTTCTCTACCTTCCAGCTATGACGCACAGCTACAGCCCAGCCTCTCTTGTATAATGAGCCTTTAAAATGACACGACTTGTAATTTATGGGGTTTTAATTGCGAATTAAAAGTCAAATTCTACCGTTCTTTTCCATGAATAATCTTGCCCGTTTCAATGAAACTTAACTCTTAGTAATCATGGCATTGCCGAATTCAGTGACGCTCTGCCCTCCTTCCCTCCTCTGAGCTGATAATACCTATCATGAATCAGAGCCTGTTGGGCTGCGGGGGTGCTAAGCTGACTCTGCAGCTCACAGAAGTTAGAAAGATGATTTCCTTCTGGCACAAACAGAAGCAGAGAAAGCAGACACGGTACCATGAAAGAATGTTACACTTCTCTTCCATCTGCAGCCCCAGAAGAACCAAATCTGCAATCAAAGTGTTCATAAGCATCCATATATAGGTATATACTCATATTCTTACAGGTATTATCAAGTTACCTACGTAACTGCACCCGGAAGAACGAATGTTACAGTTACCTGATGGCCCCCGTATCTGTGGGCCAACGGAACAGACCCAAATACCACTTTCCCACCACTGACAAACTGAAGAAAATCAGATGCTCCTTTGACAGATATATCAAGATCCAAAATATTTTCAAGAACATCCTGGAGAAGAAAAAAAAACCAAAACAACCAAACAGATGGTGCTTGAATATGATCAAATTTTCAGTGGTAATGAATGTGTTTTCTCTACCGGTTTTGTTATTAGAAGACATCTCACAATATGTTTCACATGTGCTGTTTGTTTAAAGTACATCTTGATAGGATGCTTTCACAATAAACAGCACATGAATATTAAAATATCATTTAGTGCATGTATTAACGATCTCTACTAATTAGACAGGAACAAAAAAAAATAATAGCCAACCTTTGAAACAGCTACAAGACGAACTCTAGATTTAAAAGGTGTAGGATAGACAACTGAAAAAATGCAGTTTCTCACATTACGGACATAATTTTCCTGGATCACATCAACTGGAAAGGGATCTGTAAACAAGAAATGTGTAAGAAAAGCTTTAAAAAAAACAATTAACCATTCTTAATAGCTTTAATACCCCTTAAATCCTATCAAAATACTTCAGAAACAATTAAAACTCCACTCTTTACCACAGTTTATGTTAAACCTGCATGAAAAGCATGCCCAAATAAATTTAGGATTTTATTCTGTTTGGGATTTTTGAAAAGGATTGAATTCAGCAGCTAAAGAAACTGGTAGAGCATGCCAATTTAAGATCTAAAGCATATGTAAGCATAGTTTCAATTAACGGCAATTAGAACAGTCTCAGGGCAGTTTTACCCTGTGCTCAATTACACACAACCTTACAAGTTATTTGCACGAGATGGAGAAGTTCAGCTGCCCTCGCAGATGAACAACATAGTGCAACACATGAAGTCACCAGTAACTGGTGTACAGTCCATATGCAGCGAGTACCCAGTAACCTAAGAATCCAGCTTGAAGCCTCCCGAGTAAGCAGTGAAGGAAAGGGCCGGGAGATGCGTTATAACGTATGCACTCAAAAGCTGTGCTGCGTTCTTCCTTCAGAGCTACTCCACGCCGATCCGTGGTTAACAGAGGACAAACACTTTTAAAACACTGGACTACTACTGTGCGTTTTAACATCTTTATGGATTTTTGCTTGCCACAATCGTACAACTGCATGTTAATTATAAAATCCCAGTACCCCACAGCCACCGATTTGTAAAAACTCTAAGTTAGCATCTCTGGAGACCTGCTGTTAGCCACGGTTTTCAATCTCCCTAATGACAAATCCTGTTATAGCCAGCTGCCACAAGATTTATCACCGGTGACTATTTCATAACTGTATCCCTCAAAGAAATTATTTTTGTAATGTTATCATATAAATTATCTTTGCTATTACAGGCAATCCTGTATGCCCGAGAGCTATACAGCTTCGCGTCCTTCCAATCAGGTGTCCGCTATCAATTTTGAATTAATGCATAATTGGGACATCTGCTTCTCTCCATTGTGATAAATTGCCAGTAAAACAAAGTATTTTTAACAGTTCCGTACGGCCAACCCATCTTTAATTGTGCAAGCGGTAAGCACTCGGCTGCGTACGTGAGGACTTCACTTAGTCACCGCTGTAGCAGCTGCCTCGACCCAAGCAGCAGCGGCGGGGTAGGGCAGGCTGTACCTAGGAGGCTCTCGGAGG